ACATTCAATCTAGACTGTGTTGTTTCTCTGTGTCATATAATATATGTGGGTATATGCATAATTTTGTATTTATTTTTTAGTCATATTTTTATGTAGTGTATATAAGGTGGTTGGAGGTGGTTGCATCCAGCTTTTGAGAGCTGGATGCAACAAAATTTCATTTTAATGCGTGCCGATTAGTGTACATTAGTGTACAGGGGCAATAAAGTTATTCTAAGTCTTAAATTCTCCACTGAGTACCCTCTAGCTTATCAATTACCTTCTTAAACTGCAGTGCCCAAAACTGGAGCTAGATCAGATAGTTCTCGACTTAAAATCATTCAGTTAGTGACTGTTCAAAGTTACAAAGGCACTGAAAAAAGTGACTTATGACCGTTCTTCACACTTACGACCATTGCAGCATTGCCGTGGTCACGTGATAAAAAATTTAGACACTTGTCAACCAACTCATATTTATGACAGTTGCAATGTCCCAGAATCATGTGATTCCCTTTTGCGACCTTCGGACAAGCAAAGTCACTGGGAAAGCCGGATTCACTTCATTTCTGTCTTATTAACCACTGCAGTGATTCACTTAACGACCATGGCAAGAAAGGTTGCAAAATGAGGCAAAATTCACTGAAGGTCTTTCTCGCTCAGCAACAGAAGTTTTGGGCTCTCTTGTGGTCATAAGTCAAGGACCAGCTGTATTCTATGCCTTGGTCTGATGCAGACAGGATGGAGTGGAGGACTGATTTCTCTTGAGCTTGGCATGGCATTTGTGTGGCAGCGGGAGTATTAGAGCCACGTCACTATCTTGGTTTATGCCCAGCTTGTATGAATAAAGCCGGTGTCTTTTTGCTGAGAAAAAAATGGAAATGCTGGAAGCCTACGGTACATCCTCTGCTCAAAATCCCAGCTCATCTCATCGGCCTCTGTTTTGGCACGTCCAGCCAGCTGCTAAATTTATCCAGGATGTGCCCGTTGGGTACGGCGGATTTTCTGCCAGTTAGAAATTTGGGAGAAGGGGGTGATATAACGCATCAGCTCCCATTCCTGCTTTGTAAGAAAACTGCTTTTGTTGTTTGAGAAATGTAGCCCAAAACTAGAATAGAATAACAGAGTTGGAAGGGACCTTGGAGGTCTTCTAGTCCAGCCCTCTGCTCAAGCAGGAGAACCTATAGCATTTCAGAGAAATGGCTGTCCTGTCTCTTCATAAAAATCTTCAGTGATGGAGCCCCCACAGCTTCTGAAGCCAAACCTTTCCACCGCTTAATTGTCCTCACTGCTAGGAAGTTTCTCCATAATTCCAGGTTGCTTCTCTCCTTGATCAATTTCCATCTATTGTTTCTTGTCCTGCCTTCAGGGTGCTTTGGAAAGTAGGTTGACCCCCTCTTCTCTGTGGCAGCCCCTCAAATATTGGAAGACTGCTATCATGTCACCCCCCTAGTCCTTCCCATCCTTAGACGTTCCCAGTTCCTCCAACTATTCTTCATATGTTTTAGACGTAATCAAAAGAATAGAATAGAATAGAATAGAACAGAACAGAACAGAGAAATTGGAATGGAATGGAACGGAATAGAACGGAATAGAACAGAACAGAACAGAACAGAACAGAACAGAACAGAATAGAGAAATTGGAATGGAATGGAATGGAATGGAATGGAATGGAATGGAATAGAATGGAATAGAATAGAATAGAATAGAATAGAATAGAATAGAATAGAATAGAATAGAGAAATTGGAATGGAATGGAATGGAATGGAATGGAATAGAATAGAATAGAATAGAATAGAATAGAATAGAATAGAATAGAATAGAATAGAATAGAGAAATTGGAATGGAATGGAATGGAATGGAACAGAACAGAAGAACAGAACAGAACAGAACAGAACAGAGAAATTGGAATGGAATGGAATGGAATGGAATGGAATGGAATAGAATAGAATAGAATAGAATAGAATAGAATAGAATAGAATAGAATAGAATAGAATAGAATAGAGAAATTGGAATGGAACGGAACGGAACGGAACGGAACGGAACGGAACGGAACGGAACGGAACAGAACAGAACAGAACAGAACAGAACAGAACAGAATAGAATAGAATAGAATAGAATAGAGAAATTGGAATGGAATGGAATGGAATGGAACAGAACAGAAGAACAGAACAGAACAGAACAGAGAAATTGGAATGGAATGGAATGGAATGGAATAGAATAGAATAGAATAGAATAGAATAGAATAGAATAGAATAGAATAGAACAGAGGAATGAAGAATGGAATGGAATAGAATAGAATAGAATAGAATAGAATAGAATAGAAAAGAATAGAATAGAATAGAATAGAATAGAATAGAATAGAATAGAATAGAATAGAATAGAATAGAATAGAACAGAGAAATTGGAATGGAATGGAATGGAACGGAAGAGAACGGAAGAGAACAGAACAGAACAGAACAAAATAGAGAAATTGGAATGGAATGGAATGGAATGGAATGGAATAGAATAGAATAGAATAGAATAGAATAGAATAGAATAGAATAGAATAGAATAGAATAGAATAGAATAGAATAGAATAGAATAGAATAGAATAGAACAGAACAAAATAGAGAAATTGGAATGGAATGGAATGGAATGGAATAGAATAGAATAGAATAGAATAGAATAGAATAGAATAGAATAGAATAGAATAGAATAGAACAGAGAAATTGGAATGGAATGGAATGGAACGGAATAGAGTGGAACAGAACAGAACAGAACAGAACAAAATAGAGAAATTGGAATGGAATGGAATGGAATAGAATAGAATAGAATAGAATAGAATAGAATAGAATAGAATAGAATAGAATAGAATAGAATAGAACAGAGAAATTGGAATGGAATGGAATGGAATGGAACAGAACAGAAGAACAGAACAGAACAGAACAGAACAGAGAAATTGGAATGGAATGGAATGGAATGGAATAGAATAGAATAGAATAGAATAGAATAGAATAGAATAGAATAGAGAAATTGGAATGGAATGGAATGGAACGGAACGGAACGGAACGGAACGGAACGGAACGGAACAGAACAGAACAGAACAGAACAGAACAGAATAGAATAGAATAGAGAAATTGGAATGGAATGGAATGGAATGGAACAGAACAGAAGAACAGAACAGAACAGAACAGAACAGAATAGAGAAATTGGAATGGAATGGAATGGAATGGAATAGAATAGAATAGAATAGAATAGAATAGAATAGAATAGAATAGAATAGAATAGAATAGAAATATGGAATGGAATGGAACGGAAGGGAAGGGAAGGGAAGGGAAGGGAAAGGGAAGGGAAGGGAAGGGAAGAGAAGAGAAGAGAAGAGAAGAGAAGAGAAGAGAAGAGAAGGAGAAGGAGAAGGAGAAGGAGAAGGAGAAGGAGAATATAGAATAGAATTAAATTGGAATTAGAATTAGAATTAGGAAATAATAGAATAGAATAGAATAGAATAGAATAGAATAGAATAGAATAGAATAGAATAGAACAGAGGAATGAAGAATGGAATGGAATAGAATAGAATAGAATAGAAAAGAATAGAATAGAATAGAATAGAATAGAATAGAATAGAATAGAATAGAATAGAATAGAATAGAATAGAACAGAGAAATTGGAATGGAATGGAATGGAACGGAATAGAACGGAAGAGAACAGAACAGAACAGAACAGAACAAAACAGGGAAATTGGAATGGAATGGAATGGAATAGAATAGAATAGAATAGAATAGAATAGAATAGAATAGAATAGAATAGAATAAAACAGAGGAATGAAGAATGGAATGGAATAGAATAGAATAGAATAGAAAAGAATAGAATAGAATAGAATAGAATAGAATAGAATAGAATAGAATAGAATAGAATAGAATAGAATAGAATAGAACAGAGGAATTGGAATGGAATGGAATGGAACGGAATAGAACGGAAGAGAACAGAACAGAACAGAACAGAACAAAATAGAGAAATTGGAATGGAATGGAATGGAATGGAATGGAATGGAATGGAATGGAATGGAATAGAATAGAATAGAATAGAATAGAATAGAATAGAATAGAACAGAACAAAATAGAGAAATTGGAATGGAATAGAATAGAATAGAATAGAATAGAATAGAATAGAATAGAATAGAATAGAATAGAATAGAATAGAATAGAATAGAATAGAATAGAACAGAGAAATTGGAATGGAATGGAATGGAACGGAATAGAATGGAACAGAACAGAACAGAACAGAACAAAATAGAGAAATTGGAATGGAATGGAATGGAATGGAATGGAATAGAATAGAATAGAATAGAATAGAATAGAATAGAATAGAATAGAATAGAACAGAGAAATTGGAATGGAATGGAATGGAATGGAATGGAACGGAATAGAATGGAACAGAACAGAACAGAACAGAACAGAACAAAATAGAGAAATTGGAATGGAATGGAATGGAATGGAATGGAATGGAATGGAATAGAATAGAATAGAATAGAATAGAATAGAATAGAATAGAACAGAGAAATTGGAATGGAATGGAATGGAACGGAATAGAATGGAACAGAACAGAACAGAACAAAATGGAATGGAATGGAATGGAATGGAATGGAATGGAATAGAATAGAATAGAATAGAATAGAATAGAATAGAATAGAATAGAATAGAATAGAATAGAATAGAATAGAATAGAACAGAGAAATTGGAATGGAATGGAATGGAACGGAATAGAACGGAACAGAACAGAACAGAACAGAACAGAACAGAACAGAACAAAATAGAGAAATTGGAATGGAATGGAATGGAATGGAATGGAATGGAATAGAATAGAATAGAATAGAATAGAATAGAATAGAATAGAATAGAATAGAATAGAATAGAATAGAATAGAACAGAGAAATTGGAATGGAATGGAATCTGCTCTGTCCCACCGCTTTCCCCCTTGCCAATCCCAAAGTGGGAGCAGGTGTCCCATGATGCTTCTCTCTCCCCCCCACCCCTTTAGGTGCAGAATATCAGCCTTGGGGTAGGCGAGACAATCACCGTGGAGACCCTCGGAGGCCTGGAACCCGTTCCCCTGGCCAATGAGTCCTTCCTGATGCGTGGTCAAGTGGTCCGTGGCCCCACCAACCAGGTGCTGGTCCGGTTCCAGAGCCCTTCTCCTGCCAATCCGGGCTCCTTCCACTTCCACTTTGAAGGTAAGACTCCCACAGGGTCCCATTGAAGCTGGAGAGGCGGAGGATTTTTGGGCAGAACAACTAAGGAGGGATTTGGGACTTGTAGTTGCTATTGTGAGGAGGGCTGTGCAGAGACCTTACGCAAAAGAAGAGGATCTGTTCGTCCTGCGAGGTAGTCCACCTAAGAAGCACACCCAGGAGAACTAACTCGTATCTTTTTTTGTAAGGTTACATGAAATGAATCTTGCAAGACCAAAAGTATTTCTCCCGTCCTGTAATGGAATGTGGGGATGACCTTGAGAGACAGAGCAAAGCGGGGCAACCTTGGGATCAATTGGATAAGAGACAGTGTAGCCCTTAACTGCATAACAGGCAGAGAAAGGAAACTCAGGATGTAAAAGAGACAGTGGGAGCTTTGTCCTTTCGAACCTCCAAGACTCTGTTAATGTAGCTTTAGAGAACAGTCAGATAAGATGTGGCACAGCCCTGAGCTGTACAGTGGGTGGAGAAAGAGACTCAAGAGGGACCCTCCCTAACTTCTCAGGCTGTAAAACAGACAGTGGGAGATTTTTCTATTCAAACCTGCAAGACTCTGTTAATGTCGCTTTAGAGAACAGTCAGATAAGAGACAGCATAGCCCTTGACTGTATAACAGGCAGAGAAAGGAACTCGTAAAAGAGACAGTGGGAAATTTGTCCTTTCAAACATCCAAGACTCTGTTAATGTAGCTTTAGAGAACATTCAGATAAAAGAAGGCATAGTCCTTAGCTGTACAGTGGGTGGGGAAAGATAAAGGTTCCCCTCGCACATATGTGCTAGTCGTTCCTGACTCTAGGGGGCGGTGCTCATCTCCATTTCAAAGCCAAAGAGCCAGCGCTGTCTGAAGACGTCTCCGTGGTCATGTGGCCAGCATGACTCAACGCCAAGGCGCACAGAACGCTGTTATCTTCCCACCAAAGGTGGCCCCTATTTTTCTACTTGCATCTTTTTTTTGTGCTTTCGAACTGCTAGGTTGGCAGAAGCTGGGACAAGTAACGGGAGCTCACCCTGTTAGGGATTCGAACCGCTGAACTGCCGACCTTTCGATCGACAAGCTCAGTATCTTAGCCACTGAGCCATGGCGTCCCTAAACCCTCTGTGTTTAAATCAATTGTTCCTTTATTAGGAGCGCCAGCAGCTCCGGCAAAAAGTTTCTCTCTCTGTCTCACATCACATCAGGCTAATAAATCTGTCCAACATGGAGATGCCCCCTGCCTTTTATCCCGAGAGCTGGGGTGGGGCTTCGCTAGCAGCGGTAGCCCTTCCATCCCAAAGACCGGCCCATAGATTTCCACTGCTCTCCTCTCCTCTGCCTTCTGCGCATCCGTGCGTCAGGCACTGGACCCAGCTGTTCCTCCTCTTCCTCTGATGACCTGGGGGCTGTTGACTGCCCATCTGAGGGCTGATGGACGGCCCAGGCTCTGCCCCTCTCTCTCTCTCTCTGCCAGCTCCTCTCCCTCTTCCCCCTCGGAGCTCCCAGGTTGCCCTGATGCTGACTTTGACTCCCACGCCTCCTCTTCCTCCTCCTCTGATTCGGCTGCTGGAGGGGCCAGCAGCCAACAGGCCACAACACAAATACTTCAATGCACCGGCAGGGTCCCCAATGCTCTGTTGCCACATATGTACACACACACACATACCCCACAATAACAGCTCTAGGGGGGTGCCACAGCGCCAGGATTTTCCCTTGCAGCTGTAGAGCAATTAGCTAATTGGAAGCTCGCTAATCGCCGCAGGAGCTAATCGCTGACGCTGCCAGGTTAAAGCGGGCACCTCCGAAGAAGCAACGTCTAATGAGGAGGTAATTGGCCCCAACAATTAACACAATTTGCACAAAGCGGGGGCAGGGAGGGGGAGGACAGCTGTCACCGTACCTGCCTACAGATAACGTTGCCAGAGTTTCTCTGCCATCCCATCCTCCGAGGTACAGTCGTCATGCTTCACCCTGCTTGCAAAGAGAGTGGTCAGGTTCACACGATCTTACTACTCGTATTGGACAAGCGTGTTATGCCAGGTCAGGATCTCCAACCTGGTGTCCACCGGACGGGATGCATTAGAAAGCCCATCTTTCCCAGTCCGCAGCGTAGGGCAGCGGTCCCCAACCTTTCCAGCTTGGCAGCCTGGCGGGAGTGGGAGGTGCGCCGTTCACACAAGTGGAGCTGTGGACGCACACGTGCATTCACCCGCTGCTTCCACAGCCCAGTTCCGAACGGGTTGTAGCCTGGTAGTGGACCACAGCCTGTGGGTTTGGGGACCCTTAGTGTAGGAGACACTGGCTTGGGATGTGAGAAAGACCTTGGGAGGCAGGATGAAAAGATGCTGACAGATAAGAGACAGCCAAGCCCTCAGCTGCATAAAGGGCAAAGAAAGAAGCTCAGAAGAATCCCTCCCTAGCTTCCTAAGCCGTGTGCACGCGTGCAAGTTGCGTGTGCGAGCAAAGCATATGCACAGAAGGTTGTGCACATGCTGGAAGGTGTGAGCAAGCGAAGCAGGCACATGCGTGTGTGTGCTCACATTTTCGGTGCGCAGCGAACCAGTGGTAAAATGTGAAACCCACCTCTGAGCTTTACAGAAATTTAGCTGATCTGATTGTGTTTCCTGTCTGGTCTCCCTGATAAGGCTGAGTTGGGGACAGAGAGAGGGGCAGGATCTCTCATTTGGAGAGGTTTGTACATAGAGGTATTTTCCTCAACTTACGACCATGATTGTGCCCCAAATTTCTGTTGCTAAGTGAGACTTTTTTAAAAAGTGAGTTTTGCCACCTTTTGCAGCCTTTCTTGCCACGGTTGTAAAGTGAATCACTGCAGTTGTGAATTGAGTAGTCCGGTTGTTAAGTGAATCCGGCTTCCCCGTCAGAAAGTCGCAAAAGGGGATCGCCTGATCTTGCTTGGGACACAGCAACGGTCATAAATACGAGCCAGTTGCCAAGCATCTGAAATTCGATCACATGACTCGGGGGGATGATGCAAATGGTCGTAAGTGTGGGAAATGATCACAAGTCTCTTTTTTTTCACTGCTGTTCTAACTTCGAATGGTCACTAAGCGGACTGTTGTAACCTGTATTTTTTCTCTGCAACTGACACCACCAGCTTCCGGGGGTGGGGGGAGGCAGGGGGTATTTTTTTTGTCAGAAATCTTTTTGCAAAGAGATTGCCATCAACAAGCTAGCTAAAAAAGCCCATGCAATCCTAAATTGCATGAACAGAGGGACACAATCTAGATCAAGGGAGGTACTAATACCACTCTATAAAGCCTTAGTAAGGCCACACCTAGAGTACTGAATCCAGTTTTGGTCCCCACACTATAAACAAAGGATATTGAGACTCTAGAAAAAGTGCAGAAAAGAGCAAAAAGGACAATTAAGGGACTGGAGACTAAAACATACGATGAACGGTTGCAGGAACTGGGCCTGGCCGGTCTAGGGAAGAGAAGGACCAGGGGAGACAGGAGAGCATCTTCCAGTATTTGAGGGGCTGCCCCAGAGAGGAGGAAGGGGGCCCAGCTATTCTCCAAAGCACACGAAGGCCAGAGAAGGAACAATGGATGGAAACTGAACAAGAAGAGATTCAACCTGGAAATAAGGAGAATTTTTCTGACACTGAGAACAATCAACCCATGGAACAGAGAAGTTGCCTTCAGAAGTTATGGGAGCTTCATCCCTGGAGGCTTCCAAGAAGAGACTGGACCGAAATGTTGTAGGGTCTCCTACTGGGTGGGGCGTTGGACTAGATGACCTCCAATGTCCCTTCCAGCTCTGTGAATCTGTATCTCAAGGCAGAATCCGAGGGGCTGCCATGGTTGTTAAGGCAACGAGCCCTTGAAAAGCCAGGGAAAAAATTATAGAATCTGGGATTATAGTTTCAGATGGGAAAATTGCAGGAAGTCACTCCATGGCAGCAGGTGGCAGGTGAGTCTCTCGACAGGCAGCAACTGCAAAGGGAAAGCCTCTGTGAGGAGTTACAGGTAGTCCTTGATTTATAACAATTCGTTTAGTGACCAATCAAAGTTACCAGGGGAACGAAAAAGCAACTTATAATCTTTTTTTCACACTTACGCGATCAAAATTCAGACGCTTGGCAACAGACTCGTATTTATGATTGCCGCAGTGTCCCGGAGGTGTGTGTGTGTCATGTGATCCCCTTTTGCGACCTTCCGACAAGCAAAGCCAATGGCAGAAGCCAGGTTCGCTTAACAACTGTTTGTAAAATGGGGCAGAGCAACTCTCTCGCTTAGCAATGGAAATTTGGGGCTCGATACTGGTCGTAAGTTGAGGACTACCAGTATCGCATTTGCAGGCAGGAGCCACTGGGGTTCAAGCCTTGGCCTCTGCAACTTGGGTAGAGCAGACAGTCCTGGAATAGATGCCTACCTCTGACGCAACAGAGAACAAGGGATGGGGAAGAGAGCACTTGCTCAGGACGATGGGCAGGGAGGTTGTTTTAGCCATGGACTTTAGTGCTCAGGACTGACACTAAACCAGGGGTGTCAAACACAAGGCCTGTGGGACAGATCCACCCCGTGATGCGGTTGGATCTGGCCCACGGGGCAGTCCTGGAAAATGTAAGGGGCCGTCCTGCATTGCTTCGGCCCAGTCTTCCCAATGCGAAGAGGAAACACTGGGGAGTGGCATCAAGCTGGCCATGCCCACCCAGTTGGCCACACCCACCCAGTTGGCTACGCCCGCCCACCCCCCACCCCTGAAGTCAACCACAGCCCTGATGTGGTCCTCAATGAAATTGAGTTTGATACCCCTTCACCAGCAGTGAAATCCGGCCGGATCTATCCGGTTCGCGCGAACCGGTAGCACCACTGGCAGGAGGCTCCATCCATCCACTGGGACGTCATTATGTCCCATTTTTGACCCTCTGCGCATGCACAGAAGAGGCGCGCACGCTCACATTCCCGAACCAGTAGCGAAGGTAAGTGCATTTCACCAACGTTTCAGGCACCAGGGACCAGTTCCGTGGATAGAGGTTTTTCCACGGACTGGAGGGAGCGTAGTTTCGCGTGCTGCCTGAATCCCGCAGATGGGACTTTGCTTGTTTGTATGGACCGGGTTCTGGCACGTCGCGGCCCGGTGCTGATCCACAGACGGGATTGGGGATGCCTCCATTAAATTACTGTCCATGTCTCTCCTCTGTGTCCAGCGTACTTGCTCAGCTGTGTCTTCCCTGTGCGGCCCGCGTACGGCGACGTCTCTGTCACCAGCACTCACCCGGGGGGCCAAGCGTGCTTCTCCTGCGTCGTCGGGTACCAGTTGGTGGGGAAGCCCTGCCTGGCATGCCTCAATGCCACCCATCCCTTCTGGAGCAGCCAGGAGCCCACCTGCATCGGTGAGTCAGCCGGAGATGGGGCAGCAGACCAGGGGAGGGGGCGTCCCATGCCAGACCTGGACCCCAACTCGCGTTGCCTGTCAGCTGTCACCTTACACTTGCTGTGCTTCGATGTTACACAATGACAGAATGCCATGAATTGTGGGGATGGGATGAGGAAGGTGATGCTTGGGGAATCGAAAGTAGAGACTGTACTACCTCGAGACTCTGCCTCAAGGTCACCCAGCTGGAAAAAGAAGGGAGCTGCATACCAGGCAGTGCTCAGAGTGACCATTATGAAAACATTTTGCATGTTTGATTGGTTACAGTGGGGTGGGCAGCGAGGGACAGTTAGAGGGTGGAAAAGTAGAATTTAGGGATTTTGCCGCGCGATTCTCAGTTCTGGTTTTACTCTCCTGCAATATATTTTATCTCTAATAAAATTATATCTTCCTCAACAAATGGAGCCAAGGAGGAGTTCAGGTTCTGGGGCAGTCTGATGTTGCCCATTCCATGCTCTTCTTGCAGCGGCATGCGGAGGCGTGATCCAGAATGCCACCACCGGACGCATCGTGTCGCCAGGCTTCCCGGCCAACTACAGCAACAACCTCACCTGCCACTGGGTGCTGGAGGCGCCCCCCGGGCAGCGGCTGCACCTGCATTTCGAGAAAGTCTCCTTGGCAGAGGACGACGACAGGTGAGCCCTCGGAGGATGGGAGGGCAAACGATGGGGGGGCTGCAGCGGGGTTCTGTTTAGACTGGTGGTTTGCTAGGACCTTGGCTGCTTTCTCACCACAGCCCTTGGAGGTAGATTAAGGTGAAAGAGAGTGCACCTTGCTGGCTGGGGAATTCTGGGAGTGGAAGCCCACCCCTCTTAAAACATGGCTGGCTGGGGATTCTGGGAGTGGAAGCCCACCCCTCTTAAAACATGGCTGGCTGGGGAATTCTGGGAGTGGAAGCCCACCCCTCTTAAAACATGGCTGGCTGGGGAATTCTGGGAGTGGAAGCCCACCCCTCTTAAAACATGGCTGGCTGGGGATTCTGGGAGTGGAAGCCCACCCCTCTTAAAACATGGCTGGCTGGGGAATTCTGGGAGTGGAAGCCCACCCCTCTTAAAACATGGCTGGCTGGGGAATTCTGGGAGTGGAAGCCCACCCCTCTTAAAACATGGCTGGCTGGGGATTCTGGGAGTGGAAGCCCACCCCTCTTAAAACATGGCTGGCTGGGGATTCTGGGAGTGGAAGCCCACCCCTCTTAAAACATGGCTGGCTGGGGAATTCTGGGAGTGGAAGCCCACCCCTCTTAAAACATGGCTGGCTGGGGATTCTGGGAGTGGAAGCCCACCCCTCTTAAAGCATGGCTGGCTGGGGATTCTGGGAGTGGAAGCCCACCCCTCTTAAAGCATGGTTGGCTGGGGATTCTGGGAGTTGGAGTCCATTCCTCTTAATGTATGCCTGGCTGGGGGATTCTGGGAGTGGAAGTCACCCATCTTAAAGGATGCTGGCTGGGGGATTCTGGGAGTGGAAGCCCACCCCTCTTAAAGCTGCCAAGGTCAAGAAACCTGTTCTGGGGCAATGGCATTGCCAGTCTACAACATGGAGGGTGACTGGTCAAGAGCTGCCCCTCCCCCTGGGACAGCTTTCATCCTAATCAGATTAATCATCTCAGCACCTCATTGGGGCATCCACAGAGGGGTGGGTAAAACAATGAAGATGCTCTCCACTGCCATGTACAGATAGTCCTTGATTTACAACCATTCATTTAGTGACTATTTGAATCGAAAAAGGCACTTAAAAAATGATTTACGGCCGTTTTTCACACTTACAACTATTGCAACATCCCCATAGTTACGTGATCAGAATTTGTCTGCTTGGCAACTGGCTCATATTTATGACGGTTACAGCATCCCAGGATTGTGTCATCCCCTTCTGGCAAGGAAAGTCAACGGGGAAACCCGATTCACTTAACGACTGTGTGACTCACTGAACAACGGCAGGGATTGACCCGACTACTGTGGCGAGAAAGGTCGTAAAACGGGGCAAAACCGCAGCTGTCATGCTTAGCATGGAAAGTTCAGCCTCAATTGCGGTCGTAAGTCGAGGACTACCTGTAATCAAACTGGGGTTTTTTACCGCATTGCAACACACGTAAGCAAGGGGCAAATTGCATGGCTGTGGGCCCCATTTTGGACCCTGTCGGCTGCCCCAAATCTTGGAATCAGGGGTGAAATCTAATTTTTTTTTGCTACCGGTTCTGTGGGCGTGGCTTAATTAGTGGGCGGAGCTTGGTGGTAAGGTGACTGGGTGGGCGTGGCCAAGTCAACGTGACTTCTTTGCCCTTTTTTAACCTACAAAACACAACACAACACAACTGGCTCACCCACAATGTAAAAGCAGCTGTGCTAGACCCAAAATGGCCCCTGCAACAAGCAGGAACCTCACACAGCCACAAAAAGCCCAAAAAACCAACTTTCACACTTTACACACACAAAATTCCACATACAGCTTTGTGAGATTTTGTGTGTTTGTGTAGTTAGAGTGAAACACTACAGAAACACACTAAATCTCAGAAAGCTGCACAAATATTATTTTATTTTTATTTATTTTTATTTTTATATAAAAGCAGCTAAATTTAAAACTTCCTAAACTTTAAATGGCTAGGTCTAAAAAAAAGAACAACTAAAAAAAAACCCAATTAACTATTTTTTAAAGCTCCCAAAGGGGGAAAAAACTTACCCAATAGAACAGGGGTCTCCAACCTTGGCAACTTTAAGACTTGTGGACTTCAACTCCCAGAATTCCTCAGCCAGCTTTGCTGGGAGTTGAAGTCCACAAGTCTTAAAGTTGCCAAGGTTCGAGACCCCTGCAATAAGAAGGCACAAGGCAGGCAGGAAGGCAGGCAGGCAGATGGAGCTGCTCACCGATGAGCTTGATTGCAGGCAGAGAGATTCAGTTGCTTGCTGATGCAATGGATTGCAGGTATTACAGCAAGCGAAGCAAGGCAGGCATTGCAACCAGCAGCTAAGGTAAGCAAGCTAGAAGTTGGGGGGGGGGATTTTTGCTAGTTAGCAGGCAACGCAGCTGGGATCGTCAGAGCTTGGCTCGTCAGAGCCATTTAAAGGGAAAAAAAGGCTCTGATGATCGCACGGCTCAGCTGGACATAGGGGGCAGGGGCAGGGATTTTTGCTACCGGTTCTCCAAACTGCCCGCCGCCATCGCTACCTACTCGCCCGAGCCGGTCCGAACCGGGAGCATTTCACCCCTGCTTGGAATCCTTGAGACCCTCAGGAAGGAAATCTGCCCCTCCCTCTTCGTTGCAGGCTGATCATCCGTAACGGCAACAACATCGAGGCGCCCCCGGTGTACGACTCGTACGAGGTCGAGTATCTGCCCATCGAGGGGTTGGCCAGCACCAGCCGTGGCTTCTTCGTCGAGTTTTCCACAGATAGTGGCGGCGTGGCTGCTGGGGTGGCCCTGCGCTATGAAGGTAAGTGGCCAAGAAGAGCTGGGGTCCCCCCCCAGGCATCTTCCCCAAGGCCCCCCCTTGGATGACAATTGCAGCGGGTTGGACTAAAACAGGGATCTCCAACCTTGGCAACTTTAAGACTTGTGGACTTCAACTCCCAGAATTCCTCAGCCAGCTTTGCTGGCTGAGGAATTCTGGGAGTTGAAGTCCACAAGTCTTAAAGTTGCCAAGGTTGGAGAGCTGGCTGAGGAATTCTGGGAGTTGAAGTCCACAAGTCTTAAAGTTGCCAAGGTTGGAGACCTCTGGACTAGAAGACTTCCAAGGTCCCTTCCCGCTCTCTTGAACCTGTTACCCTTCCCAGCTTCAACTGTGCTGGCTGAGGCTGATGGGAACTGTAGTCCGGCAACCAGCCGGGGCCAGCCCTACTAAAAGAAGGAGACCAAGCCCTCCTTCTCCCTGCTCTGCTCTTTGCAGCTTTCCGGCCCGGTCACTGCTACGAGCCCTTCGTCAAGTACGGGAACTTCACCTCCAGCAACGGGAGCTACAAAGTGGGCACCACCGTGGAGTTCACCTGTGAGCCCGGCTACACCCTGGAGCAAGGCTCGGTCATCATCGAGTGCGTGGATCCCTCCAACCCCCAGTGGAATGAGACGGAGCCGGCCTGCCGAGGTGAGAGACGGGGAAGGACGCGGCTGGTGGAAATGACAAGAATTGGTTCCCTTGTGGCTACATAAGGATTCTAGGCTGGTGCCTCTTTTGACTCCACCCCCCTCTCCCCCAGGATTTGCCACTCCTTCTCTTACACTTCTTTCCTACTAATCTTTTTTTCTTTCCCTTCCTTCCTTCCTTCTTTTCCTTCTTTCTCCCTCTATCTCCTTCCCTCCTCCCTTCCTCTCTATATTTCCTTCCTGCCTTCCTGCCTTCCTTCTTTTCATTCTTTCTCCCTCCTTTCCCCTCTATATTTTCTTCCTTCCTTCCCATCTTCCTTCCTCCTTTCCTTCCTGCCTTCCTTCCTTCCTTCTTTTCATTCTTTCTCCCTCTATCTCCTTCCCTCCTCCCTTCCTCTCTATATTTCCTTCCTGCCTTCCTTCTTTTCATTCTTTCTCTCTCTATCTCCTTCCCTCCTCCCTTCCTCTCTATATTGCCTTCCTGCCTTCCTTCCTTCCTTCTTTTCATTCTTTCTCCCTCTATCTCCTTCCCTCCTCCCTTCCTCTCTATATTTCCTTCCTGCCTGCCTTCCTTCCTTCTTTTCATTCTTTCTCCCTCTATCTCCTTCCCTCCTCCCTTCCTCTCTCTATTTCCTTCCTGCCTTCCTTCTTTTCATTCTTTTCCCTCCTTTCCCCTCTATATTTTCTTCCTTCCTTCCCATCTTCCTTCCTCCTTTCCTTCCTGCCTTCCTTCCTTCCTTCCTTCTTTTCATTCTTTCTCCCTCTATCTCCTTCCCTCCTCCCTTCCTCTCTCCATTTCCTTCCATCCATCTATCCAGCCAGCCAGCCAGCTGTATTGTCAGGTGCAAAAGACCAGATCCACCTGTGAAGATTCCACTAAACTGATTTATTGCTAAAAGCCTAAGCATAGGAATCTTCTCAACTCACGGTGGGCGCCTTCTAAGGGTTGGATAAGGGTGAATGGAATTCACAGGGCTGGATTTAATCCGCTTGCAGCTACTTAGGGATTCTAGGATGATGCCTCTTTTAACTCCGCCGCCAGCTTCTGTCATTCCTTCTCCAACACTTCTTTCCTTCTTCTTCCTTCCTTCCTTTATTTTACTTTATTTTATTTTATTTTATTTTATTTTATTATTTTATTTTATTTTATTTTATTATTATTTTATTATTATTTTATTTTATTTTATTTTATTATTTTATTTTATTTTATTATTATTTTTATTTTATTTTATTTTATTTTATTTTATTTTATTTTATTTTATTTTATTCAATTTATATACCGCCCTACTCCCGAAGGACTCAGGGCGGTGAACAGCCACAAAATAAAAATACATCATACAAAAGTTAAAAACCAATTAAAAGTACATTAAATAATTTTGGCCCAAAAAACGAATTTAAAAACACCCAATTTGTATAAAACTTACAAGCAAATTAAAAGGGAGAGTCAAGCCAGTCCAGCCTGCTGGAATAAAAATGTTTTGGGGGCACGGCGGAAAGTGAGTCCTTCCCTTCCTTCTCTCCCTCCCTCCCTTTTCATCATTCCTCCTTTCCTTCCTTCCCGCCTTCCTTTCTTCCTCTTTTTTCTATTTTTCCTCCCTCCATTTCCTCCCTCCCTTCCTGGCACGAAAGACCAGGTCCACACCTGAAGCTCCAATTAAACGAATTTATTGCTCAAAGCCTCCGTTCAGGAATCCTCTCGGCTCACACTTCGCATCCGCACTCAAGAGAGGCTGGACTGAGCCTGCTTGTGACTACGCAGGGATTCTAGGCTGATGCCTCTTTTAACTCTGCCCCCAGATTTCTGCCAAACTCCTGGAGAAGAAAAAAACGCAATAAATCGCTTTTAAATTAAATTATTTTTACCTACAGGTAGTCCTCGACTTACAACAGTTCATTTAGTGACCATTCAAAGTTACATCCCTGAAAAAAGTGACTTATGACCATTTTTACATGTATGACCGTGCATCATCCCCCATGGCCATGTGATCAAAATTCAGACGCTTGTCAACTAACTGACTCGTATTTATGACGGGTTGCAAAGTTCCAGGGTCTCGCGAAGCCCTTTTGTGACCTTCTGATGAGCAAAGTCAACAGGGAAGCCAGATTCACTTAACAACCGAGTTACTAGTGTAACAACTGCAATTATTCACTTAACAACTGTGGCAAGAAAGCTTGTAAAAACAGGCAAACCTCACTTAACAAATGTCTCACTTAGCAACATCAGTTTTGGGCTCAATGATGGTTGTAAGTTGAGGATTACCTGTATTTATTAACAGGTACTTCAAAAAGTTACATGAAGTCCTTGACTTACAATCAGAGGTGGGGCCCGAATTTTGGTTGCTAAGCCATCAAGCGAGATGTCACATATGCGCCCTCACTTAGTGACCGTTCAATGTTATGACAACCCCCCAAAAGTTATGAACCTCTCCCCCATAGTCACCTGGTCACTTTTGGGGTGCTCGTCGACCAGCCCACATTTACATCAATCACATCACCATGATTTACCATGTTTTTCACGAGAAACCAGAGTTTAGTTCCAATTTACAGACAATTTACAGTCCAATTTGTAGATAATGGGTTCGCTTAACAACCGAGGGATCTGTTGAACAATCCCGGTGTTGGCTTCACAACCGCCACAAAACAAGGCCATAAAATCAGGTTGGTCGCTTAATGACACGCTGAATGATCAGCACAACTTACGACCATAATGCCAACCTCAATAATGGTCGTAAATCAAGGACTATGTGTACCCTGTACATACAATGTAATGTAGTACAGGTGATCCTCGGCTTACGGCCACAAATGAGCCCCAAAATTTATGTTGCTAAGTGAGACATTTGTTCAGAGAGTTTTGCCCCGTTTTAAGACCTTTTTCATCACAGTTGTTAAGTGAATCATTGCAGTTGTTAAGTTAGTTGCACGGGTTGTTAAGTGAATCTGACTTCGCCATTGACTTCGTTTGACAGACGGTCGCAAAAGAGGATCATGTGACCCTGGGACACTCCAACCGTCATAAATATGAGTCAGTCGGGCTGGCTTGATCCCATCCTCTCAGTTTTAATTGAATTCGGTTTTAATTGGGTTGTTTTTAAATCTTGGCCCGAAATTATCTAATTGTTTTTTAAACTGTTTTTAAATTTTATATGCAATGTTTTATCTCGGCTGTACACCGCCCTGAGTCCCGAAGAAGAAGGGCGATATAGAAATAAAATAAAATATAAATATAAATATAGTTGCCAAGCGCCTGAATTTTTATCACGTGAATATGGAGATTCTGCAACCGTCGTAAGTGTGAAAAATGGCCCTAAGTCATTTTTTCCAGTGCTGTTGTAACTCCGAACGGTGATTCTGGAACGGTCATAAGTCGAGGACTGCCTTATGTAGAAAAACATTTCTCTACCTGAGGCAGTCCTCGACTTATGACCGTTCCATTGAGTGACCGTTCGGAGTTCACTTGCACTGAATTTTAAAATAAAAAGCTACCGGAAGAAAGTCAGACAGGGATCTAAAAACCCAGCATTGGCAATGCCCACGCGTGACCTTTTTCTCACGTGTGTCCCCCAACAGCGGTGTGCAGCGGGGAGATCACGGATGCATCCGGAGTGGTTTTGTCCCCCAACTGGCCCGAACCATACGGAAAGGGGCAGGATTGCATCTGGGGCGTCCATGTGGAAGAGGACAAGCGCATCATGTTGGACATACGTGTGTGAGTGGACTGCTTCTCTCTTCCCCTCTTTCGCACCCAGGCCCAGCTCTCCTGAAGGCAGGCCAAACAACAGAATTGCAACCCAGGGCCCCCACCAACAAGTAGTCCTGGATTTAGGACTACCGTCGAGCCCAGAATTTCCGTTGCTCAGCAAGCCAGTTTTTAAACCATGGTGGCGCAGTGGTTAGAAGGCAGCATTGCAGGTTAACTCACTGCCCGCTGCCAGCAGTTCGATCCTGACTGGCTTAAGGTCGATTTAGCCTTCCGTCTTTCTGAGGTGGGTAAAATGAGGACCCAGGTTGTTGGGGGCAAGAGGCTGACTCTGTCAACCGCTCTGAGAGGGCTGTAAAAGCACTATGAAGTGGGGTATAAGTCTAAGCACTATTGTTTGGGAAGGAAGGAAGGAAGGAAGGAAGGAAGGAAGGAAGGAAGGAAGGAAGGAAGGAAGGAAGATGGGAAGAAAGGAAGGAAGGAAGGAAGGAAGGTAAGAAGAAAGAGGAGGGAAGGAAGGAGGGAGGGGGGAAGTATATAAGTAGAGAGAAGGGGGAGGGGAAGGGGAGGAAGGAAGGAAGGAAGGAAAGGAAGGAGGGAGGAAGATGGGAAGAAAGAAAGAAGGAAGGTAGGTAGTTAGGTAAGAGAAGGAAGGAAGGAAGGAAGGAAGGAAGGAAAGGAGGAAGGAAGATGGGAAGGAAGGAAGGAAGGTAGGTAGGTAAGAGAAGGAAGAGGAGGGAGGGAAGGAAGGAGGGAGGGGGGAGTATGTAAGTAGAGAGAAGGGAGGGAAGGGAAGGAAGGAAGGGGAAGGGGAGGAAGGAAGGAAGGAAGGGGAAGAGAAGGAGGAAGGAAGATGGGAAGGAAGGAAAGGGGAAGAAGATGGGAAGGAAGGAAGGTAGGTAGGTAGGTAAGAGAAGGAAGAAGGAAGGAGGGAGGGGAAGTATATAAGTAGAGAGAAGGGAAGGAAGGAAGGGGAAGGGAAGGGAGGGAGGAGGGAAGGAAGGGAAAATGAGGGGAAGGAATGAGGAAAGCGGGGAAATGAGAAGGAAGGAAGCTGTAGTGGCACAGCTGTTACAATGCAGCATTTCAGGCTGACTCTGCCAACTGCCAACAGTTCAATCCTGACCAGCTTGAGTTTGACTCAGCCTTTTGTCCTTCCGAGGTCGGGAAAATGAGGACCCAGGTTGTTTGGGAAGGTGGGGGGCGGCAATAGGCTGGCTCTGTAAACCGCTTAGAGAGGGCTGTAAAAAACTGTGAAGCGGTATATAAGTCTAAGCACTATTGCTTGGGAAGGAAGGAAGGAAGGAAGGAGAGGGAGGGGAAAGGAAGGAAGGAAGGAAGGAAGGAAGGAAGGAAGGAAGGAAGGAAGGAAGGAAGGAAGGAAGGAAAGAAGGAAGGAAGGAAGGAAGGAAAGATGGGGAGGAGGAGAAAGGAAGGGAGGGAGGAGGGAAGGGCAACTTGCCTCTAGAACAGTGTTTCTCAACCTTGGAAGCTTGAAGATGGGTGGACTTCAACTCCCAGAATCCCCCAGCCAGCAGCGCTGGCTGGGGGATTCTGGGAGTTGAAGTCCACCCATCTTCAAGCTACCAAAGTTGAGAAACACTGCTCTAGAAGCTGGGCTGCCCCATGTGCGCTCATCTGGGCCGAGACCAGGAATAGGAGTTGCCCAGGGGCGTGCACGTGCCAGAGAACGTACTCGCGGTACATGCACACGTGGCGATCGTCTGACCAAGCCCACACGCTCAGGCTGGAGAATGGAAGACCAGCCCTTCCGGTTTCCGGCACTGACGCCAACACAAAGGCAGCTGATCATCGTGTGCGCATATGTGCCGGAAACATGGAAGAGGAACAGGGGACGCTGCGTGTGCCAGGCGACAAGGCTCCGCGTGCCACTTTGGGCACGCGTGCCATAGGTTCCGCATCACGGGACTAGAAGATTTCTTTGCTATTCTGGTCTTTGATGATGCCGGGACTGGAGGCTAAAACTTACAATGAACGGTTGCAGAAACTGGACCTGGCTAGTCCAGTGAAGAGAAGAGAAGGACCAGGTGAGACAGGAGAGCATCTTCCAATAGTTGAGGGGCTGCCACAAAGAGTTGGGGGGTCAAATTGTTGTCCAAAAAAACAGAAGGCAGGACAAGAAGCAACGGATGGAAACTAATCAAGGAGAGAAGAAGAACTTTTTGCAACTAATTGGGACTCAGCTGTGAATGAACGTAATTCACAGCTGTTGCAATAAAAGAGGTTTTTGGGACTACTCGTGTGTTTTACTGACTCAGGAAGCCCAGGTCACGCTACCTTCTGCTTTCTTTGACAGATTTCCCTCCCTTTGTGGATGCCACGAAAGAGGGAAATCTGGGACCAGCTGATAAAGAGTCTTATTAATAGGATATTTGTAGCTCGGGGTTGAACTGTGGGGTCCTTGGTGCTCTCTGAGCTGGGTTGTTTCCTTGCAGACGTTTCATGACCCAGTTAGGTAACATCATCAGTACTAGTAGTGGGTGGGGGGAACGGGGATCCAGGCTGAGAAAAATACAGAATAAAATCCAATTTATAAGCAAATTATTGGATTTTCTTCCTCGCAATTTGCTACGAAGGTGTCAAAGGGCCCCCTTGTTGAGGCAGCCTCTTTTCCTCCCCCCTCCCGGATTGCCTTCCCCCCCTCCCCCGCTTGTCCTTAAAGGTTGCGCCTTGGCAAAGGGGACACGCTGACCTTCTACGACGGGGACGACCTGACGGCCCGCATCCTGGGCCAGTATTCTGGCTCCCACCGGCATTTCCAGCTCTTCACCTCCATGGCTGACATCACCGTCCAGTTCCAGTCGGATCCCGGGAGCAGCGCCGTGGGTTACCGGCACGGTTTCATCATCCATTTCGCCGGTAAGCGGAGCAGCTGCCTTCCCTGGAGACCCTCCGAACAGCCTTCGTAGCTCAGCTTCCAACTGTCAGGTTTCGATGCTATCTCAAAATAAATGACTTTCCAAACTGCCGATCTTTGAGGAAATTTTCTCTTTATGGAGCATAGTGATCTGTCCCTGGCTCTTTCGCGGTCAGCACTGACCTCTGCCCCCCAAGCCTTCCCTTTCCGATCCCCAATTCTCTGCGTCTCATTGGCTATCTTCCAAGCCACTCTCCTCATCCCATCTCCGTCAGATCACAGGAATGTCCCCCCCTCCTCCCATCTCAGAGGAAACAGAATCTTCAAAGGAATTAAGTAGGCAAAAGTTCAAGCTTCTCCTCTCCTTTCATATGTCAGCGCTGGAACGCTTACACCAACATGCGGGGGGAGGGAGGGGCACATTGAAATTACAGGTAGTCCTTGACTTACGAGGACAATGGAGCCAAAAATTTCCATGGCTAAGTAACACAGTTGTAAAATAAGTTAGTAAAAATGGTCGCTTTACAACCGTTCTTGCCTCAGTTGTTAAGTGAATCACTGGTTGTTAATTTAGGAACACGGTTATTAAGTGAATCTGTCTTCCCCATTGACCTTCTGGCCAGCGAAGTCAATGGGGAAGCCAGATCCATTTAACAACCGTGTCCCTGACTTAACCACTGTGTCAGGAAACGTCGTAATTAAATTGGATTAAATTTGGATTAAATTATGATTTTATTGTACTTGTTTCTTAACTTGTGTTCGCCGCCCTGAGTCCTTTGGGAGAATGGCGGCATATAAATACATTTAATAAATAAATAAATAATGTGGGGCTCAACTCACTTAACAACTGCCCCGCTTAGCAACGGAGATTTTGGGCACAACCGTGGTCGTAGGTCGAGGACTACCTGGATAGCAAGGAGAGGGAGCTTCCCATTGGGGGCAGGGGTGGGTTAAAAGGGGCTCTCGTCCCCCGTCCCCGTCCCCCCAGTCCAAAATCAGATGCCAAAGGACCTCTCTCCAGCCTCCCTTTCGGTCTTCTTCCCTGGCAGAGGTTCCCCGCAACGACACCTGTCCGGAGCTGCCAGAAATTCCCAACGGCTGGAAGACGACCTCGCACCCGGAGCTGATCCACGGGGCAGTGGTTACCTATCACTGCTACCCCGGCTACGAGTTGGTGGGCACCGAGCTCCTGATGTGCCACTGGGATTTGGTGTGGAGTGGGGACCTGCCCTCCTGCCAGAGAGGTAAGGGGGGGGGAAGGTCTGGGGCTAGGAGGGGGGGAGGAGGAGGAGGAGGAGGGAGGAGGAACTCTGCATGCCCGATTTAGAGTCTTCCCCAGGAGAATCTTCCTGACTTAGAAGGAAGGAGGGGGGATCCCAATGGCAGAAGGATTCTGGGGGGGTCTCCAATAGCCGGTCCATCTGGGTGGGGGGGACATTTCCGTAAAGCTCCTCCATTGTGCTTGTAAAACCACTTTTGACTTGATGTTGGGCGTGTTAAGAGCTCCCCCTACTGGCTGATGAGGGGATCGTTGTTAAATCTGGAATATCCAAAGGAGGCGATGGGAAAACAGCGTTCTGCTTAATGACTGACCGCTGCCAAAAATATTATCAAATCCCATTTTATGACCGTCACAAGTCATGTCCATGACGGGCAGGCTCCGTTATTGTTGTCTGTACACATTCACTTTTTCTTGCTTCGTTTTATCCTGACGCTTTAAATCAGAGGTCTTTAAACTTGGCAGCTTTAAGACTTGTGGACTTCAACTCCCAGAATTCTCCAGCTGGCTGGAGAATTCTGGGAGTTGAAGTCCACAAGTCTTAAAGCTGCCAAGTTTAAAGACCTCTGATTTAAGGATAAGGGATCCTTGATTTACAACGATTTCTTTAGTGACGGCACTGAAGAAAGTGACTTAGGACCCTTGTTCACACTTACGACTGTTACAGCCTCCCTGTGGTCAGAGGAGCAAAATCCAGGTGCTGGGCAACTGACTTGTCTTTATGACGGTTGCAGTGTCCCGAGGTCACGTGATCTCCTTTTTGCGACCGTCTGACCGTCCATGGGGAAGCCATATTCACTTAACGACTATGCTCCTAACTTAACAACAGCAGGGATTCACTTAACAACTGTTTCAAGAAAGGTTGTAAAATGGGGCATTTAACAACTGTCTCACTTAGCAACAGAATTTTTGCACTCAATAGTGTCATAAGCTGAGGACTACCTGTGTCTGTGTCTGTGTGTGTATATGTGCCTATATATGTGTGTGTGTGTTTGTGTATATGTGTGTGTGTGTGTGTGTATAGATATAGCTATATATCTGAAATAGAATAGGTTCTCCTGTTTGAGCAGGGGGTTGGACTAGAAGACCTCCCTGGTCCCTTCCAGCTCTATTTTGTGTGTGTGTGTGTGTGTGTGTGTGTGTGTGTGTGTGTGTGTGTGTACGTACATTACCGGTATATATATGTGTGCATTTGTATGTGTGAGAGTATACACACACATATATATAAAATAATTCCAGGTCATAAATGGATTATGGGCGTAAGTCGAGGACTACTTCTAAAAGATGGGGTGGGGGTGGGGGGGTCTGCGTAGCCCTTCCAGTGCCTTCTGAGCGCAGACCTCTCTCAATAAGGCGACAGCTTCCCCCTCTGCCCTGGGGGGGTGTCTCCCCCTGCCCACCTACCAGTTCCCTCTTTGTCTCTCTTAGTGACCGCTTGTCCAGACCCCGGAGACGTGGAGCACAGCCGTCGCGTGGTCTCCGCCAACAAATTCCCGGTGGGCTCCGCCATCCAGTTCCTCTGCGACAAAGGCTACCTCCTGGCCGGCACCGGGGAAATCGTCTGTCACGACCGGTCGGCCGGCGGTCCCAAGTGGAGTGACCGGCTGCCCAAATGCATCCGTAAGCTGAGTCTGGGGTCTTCCACCCAGGAGGAGGGCGAGAGGCTAGCCAGGGGCAGAGGTCAAAGAAAGACAGGCAGTTCTCGACTTATGACCATTTATTCATTTAGTGACCGTCTGAAGTTACTTGAAAAAAGTGACTTATGACTGTTTTTCACTCTTACGACAGTGGCGGCATCCCACGTGGTCATGTGATCAAAATTCAGACATTTGGCATCTGACTCATATTTATGACGGTCGCAGTTTCCCATGGGGATCACGTGATCCCTTTTTGCGACCTTCCGATGAGCAAAGTTGATGGGGAAGCCAGATTCACTTAACAACTGTATAACTAATTTAACAACTTTAGTGATTCACTTAACAAATGCGGCAAGAAATGTCGTAAAACAGGGTAAAACTCATTTACCAACTGTCTTGCTTAGCGATGGAAATTTTGGACTCAGTTGCGTTCGTAAGTTAAAATTACGAAAATTACAAAATTTTGGGCTAAAATTTAGTCCGAGGGACATTTTCTAAATCAATACAGGTAATCCTCGACTTATAACCACAATTGAGCCCAATATTTATGTTGCTAATTGAGACATACGTTAAATGTGTTTTGCCCCATTTTATGACCTCTCGTGACATAGTTGTTAAGTGAATCAGTGCAGTTGTGAAATGACTCAGATGGTTGTTAAGTGAATCTGGCTTGCTCCTTGACTTTGCTTGTCAAATGGTCGCAAAAGGGATCATGTGATCCCCAGGAAAGTGCGATCATCATAAATAAGGGTCAGTTGCCAAGTGTCTCAATTTTGATTACGGGGATACTGGAACGGTCATAAGTGTGAAAAACAGTCGTAAGTCTCTTTTATTTTCTGTCGTTGTAACTTCAAACAGTCACTAAATGAACTGTCCTACTGTTCTGTCCCCAACCCCACGCACACACACCAACAGACGTTCAAGAGTTAAAGACCAAACCAGCCGGCAAAATCCTTTTCCTTATGATAACGGAACTTGGCAACAACCTAGTGGCTGCCTGCCAAGAGTTTATTCTTTACGAAGAGGAGAGATAACTTCTCCCCACTCCTGGTACATCAAAAGAAACAGCTCAATAATTACGGAGTCAATCAAGTCCAGAGATAATCCAGCAAAGTCTTATAGCAAAAGTCCGGCAATGCAGAATGGCGTGGAAGCTTTCAGCTTTGTTCGTCACAAGGTTTGACTGGCCACCACACTCCCTTTTATACCCTGTGGGGTGTGGTCCAGTGACTCAGCCTAATCTCGGGCACGCCTTTTCTTCTGTTGCGCGCGCTTATCTCTGCGACGCTGGCGTGGATCCAGCCAAGACTCATTACCCTCATCACTGTCCACCTGTGGCTGCGTGGACGTGCTTGGCCCTGGCCCTATCTCTTGCCCTTCGGCGGACACCGAAGGCATTGCCAGAGAGGAGGGTCCTGGAGAGGGAGGCCTTGCCAACTCCTCTCCTTCACTCTCGGAGTCCTCTCCTGCCGATGACACAGGCTCAGGTAACGGAGCCACAACACCTACAGGCGAGGACTACCTGTATTTCTCACCTTAACAACTTTACAGTGTGTGGACTTCAACTCCCAGAATTCCTCAGCCAACAGAGGAATTCTGGGAGTTAAAGTCCACGCATCTTAAAAGTTGTAAGGTTGAGGAACGCTGTTTTTTAAAAGTGTTTCCCCTGTGCCCGTCTAAAAAACTAAAAATCAACGAGCAAAATCAGAACTAGGCCGGAAAGGATTTCAAATCTGTCAGAGTGTGAGTATATATGTAAGACAACCTAGGAGCAAATACAGTAAACAGAGGTTTGTATTTAAATAGTGGTTTTATCTACAAAGAATATATACATACACGTACTTTAGTCAGACCTCAAACGAACAGCAATCAGCAATTACAGCACGGAAGCACACACGGAGAGAGAGATACACCCCAATAGGACCTCTTCTTATTACAGGCTCTTAAAGTGATACCAGCCCAAAAACCTTGCTGAATCATCGTAGCAGCTGGTCAGCTCTTAAATCAGGAGTCTCCAACCTTGGCAACTTTAAGCCTGGTGGACTTCAACTCCCAGAATTCCCTGGCCAACTTTGCTGGTCAGTTCTTAAATCATTATCCTGACAGAATCCTGCTATTCTCTTCTTTCAGCCGAGGTCTACGAACCCTGCACCAACCCAGGTGGACCCGAACACAGCACTCAGCACCCCGAAAAACGGCTCTACCAAACCGGGACTACCCTGCGCTTCACCTGTGCCACCGGCTACCTGCCGCTGGGCAGCACCGTCCTCCGATGTCTGCCTGGGCACCCGTCGCACTGGAGCAGCCCTCCCCCGCTTTGCAAAGCCGGTCAGTCTCCGTGGGGCTGGGGGGGGGGTGGTGGGTCAGGGATGAAGGTCAGCTATCCGGAATCCTCTGCACGGAGTGGGTAGATCCCACCTACTCCAGGTAGTCCTCGACATAGGACAGTTCACTTAGTGACCATTACAAAGTTACAACAGCACTGAAAAAAGAAAGTTATGACGGTGTTTCACACTTATGACCCCACGAACACGTGATCAGAATTCAGAGGCTTGGCAACTGACTCGTGTTTACGACGGTTGCAATGTCCCGAGGGGACACCTGATCCGCTTTTGCGACCTTCTGATCCGCAAAGTCAATGGGGAAGCCAGATTCACTTAACAACCGGGTGACTCACTTAAAAACGGCAGGGATTTGCTTAACCGATCTGGCCAGAAAAAGGGTAAAACAGGGCAAAACTCACTTAACAAATGTTTCACTTAGCAACATCAATGTTGGGCTCATTTGTGGTCATAACTCGAGGACTACCTGTGTTTATTTTTTAATATATTTAATTTTAGTTATTTAATTTTAGTTATTTATTTAGTTATTAAATATATATAACACTTCACAACTGCAGTGTTTTTCATAAGTCCCGCGGCAGAAAAGGTCATAAAATCGGGTGCAACTCACTTAACAACTGCCTTGCTTTGTGTGCATCCAACTGCTTAGCAACGGAAACTTTACTCCTAATTCTGGTCATACGTTGAGGACTCCCTATATACAGGCAGTCCTCGATTTACAACAGTTCACTTAGTGACCGAAGTTACAACGGCACTGAAAAAAGTGACTTAGGACCGTTTTTCACACTTACGACCGTTGCAACCTCCCCATGGTCATGTGATCAAAATTAAGAGGCTTGGCAACTGGCATGTACTTATGACGGTTGCAGTGTCCCAGGGTCATGTGATCCCCTTTCGCGACCTTCTAACAAGCAAAATCAATGGGGAAGTCAGATTCGCTTAATGACCGTTTTGAGTAAGTTACCATCTGCAGTGATTCACTTAACAATTGTGGCAAGCAATTGTTAAGTTTTGCCCCGTAAAATGGGGCAAAACTCATGTTAGCAAATGTCTCACTTAGCAACAGAAATTTTGGGCTCAATTGTGGTCGTAAGTCGAGGACCACCTGTAGAAAAAGTCGGAGGGCTCAAAATATTTTTTAAAAACTAAATCAATCAATCGTCAAGCAAGATGGGAGTGGAGCATGGGCACCTGGTTTCCACCACAGTGTTTCTCAACCTCAGCAACTTTAAGATGGGTGGACTTCAACTCCCATAATTCAGAGCTGGCTGGGGAATTCTGGGAGTTGAAGTTCACCAGAGGTGTGTTTTAACAGGTTCTGACCAGTTCTGGAGAACCGGTAGCGGAAATTTTCAATAGTTCGGAGAACCCGTAGTAAAAATTCTGACTGGCCCTGCCCCCATCTATTCTCTGCCTCCTGAGTCCCAGTTGATAAGGGAGGAAATGGGAATTTTGCAGTAACCTTCCCCTGCCACGCCCACCAAGCCACACCCACAGAACCGGTAGTAAAAAAAATTTGAAACCCACCACTGAAGTTCACCCGTCTTAAAGTTGCCGACGTTGAAAAACTGGTCTAGGGGATGGAAAGACAGAATTTCTCAGCTGGGAAAATCGCTCCGGGAATTTCCAGCTTGCGATGCCCCTCCATAAGGGTGGCATATAAATCGAACCAATAAATAAATAAATAAATAAATAAATAATGCCACCCTCTGCTTCCTTTCCAGCCTCCGGCGATGAGTTACATGCCAACCCGAAGCTGGACGGTAAGACGGGGAGGATCCCAAAAACTTCCTTTTCCCAGGCCGCTGCCTTCTTCTGCTCAGAGGGGGAATGCAGGACGGCGAAGTGCAATCAAAACTCTGTGCATCCAACTGGCTGCTACGACCTTACTTTTTCTGACTGCCCTACAAGTCAGCCCCGCAAACTCAAGGCCTGTGGGTCAGATCCGACCCACGGGGTGCTTAGATCTGGCCCCTGCGGGGCTGGCCTGGAAACCGCAAAGGACCGGCTCGCAGTGCCTCTGCTAGCAAAAATGGAGCTGGCTCTGTTTTGGGTGGCAGGAGGCTATCAAACGAAACTCAAAACAAAACAAAAGGAAAAATGTTTCCCCTTTTGCATTTGAGCACGCAAGAAGGGTCAGGAAAGGAGAAAGGGAAAGAGGGAAGACAAAGAAAAAAAAGAAAAGAGGGGAAGAGAGCAAGGAAATAGGGGAAGGAAGAAGAAAGGAGAACAAATAGGGAAGGAAAAAGAAGAGAAGGAAGGATGGAGGGAAGGAGGGTGGAAGGTGATAGGAAGGAGGAGGAAGGAAGGGAGAGGAAGGAAGAAAGGAGGGAGGGAGGAAGGATGGTGATAGGAAGGAGGGGAGGGAGGGAGGGAGGAAGGAAGGAAGGAAGGAAGGAAGGAAGGAAGGAAGGAAGGACATTATAATGGGATTGAGGGAGGATATCACGGAAGTCCTGCCTTAGCACTTGGCTACCATAGGTGCCCCCGACATGTATCCCGTGTCACGCCCACCACGGCCATGTCCATCCTGGCCACACCCACCCCAGCCACACCCATCACAGCCATGCCCCATGCCCCCCCTCCAGGCCCTCCGAGGTAAAACACAACCCTGATGCGACTCTCAATGAAATTGAGTTTGACACCCCTGCTCTAGGGGCCTGAGCTTTCGGGGTCCTGCTCTCCCCCCACTCTGCTGCCCTGCAGGTGCCCCCAAAACTGAGCCTCCCGTTTCTTCCCGCAGCTGTGGCCAAAGTGATGCCAGCCAGGGACCCCTTGCAAGGGTCCAGCGTGGCTTTTGCTGTCTTCCTACCGGTGGCTGTCGTTGGGCTTCTCCTGGGCACCGTCTACCTGTGTATTTCCAGGTGAGCTGCGGTGGATGGGTGGGGGAGCTGACCGGAGGGGGGTGGGGGACATAGCCTCCCCCTCCCCCTCGTCTCTTGACCCCAGTCTCCTTCCCTCCCTCCTCTCTGTCTGCCCAGGCATCAGGGGAAGTCTTCGCTGCCGGCCCCTCTGTCAGCTTCACCATCCTACGACCAAATGGCTGAAGATTCGGCTTTTGACAATCCCACCTATGAGACTGGAGTAAGTGGGTGCCCCTTCCTTCCCCAGCTGCGCCAAATAGGGAGACAGGAGGGGCCACTGAGCGAGGCATAGGGGTGGGTGGGGGTGGGGGTGGAGTGAGAGAGAGAGAGAGGGAGAGAGTGACAGAGAGAGAGAGAGAGAGAGATGATATATATAGATGATAGAGAAATAGATAGATAGGTAGATAAGAAGACAGAGAGAGAGGAGAAAGAGAGGAGAGAGATGATATATAGAGATGATAGAGAAACATAGAGAGAGAGAGATGATAGAAGAGAGAGGGGAGAGGGAAAGAGAGGAGAGAGAGAGAGAGATGATATATAGAGATGATAGAGAAACAGATAGATAAGAGAGAGAGAGGAGAAAGAGAGGAGAGAGAGATGATATATAGAGATGATAGAGAAAGAGAGCGAGAGAGAGATGATAGATAGATAGATAGATAGATAGATAGATAGATAGATAGATAGATAGATGGATGAGAGAGAGGAGAGAGGAGAGATGATATATAGAGATGATAGAGAAACAGAGAGCGAGAGAGATGATAGATAGATAGATAGATAGATAGATAGATAGATAGATAGATAGATAGATAGAAGAGAGAGAGAGAGGAGAAAGAGAGAGGAGAGAGATGATATATAGAGATGATAAAGAAACAGAGAGAGAGAGATGATAGATAGGTAGAAGAGAGAGGAGAGAGAGAGATGATATATAGATGATAGAGAAACAGATAGATAGATAGAAGAGAGAGAGAGAAACAGAGAGAGAGAGAGATCGTATAAGGGGGTTGGACTAGAAGACCTCCTTCCGATTACAACTTCCATCAGCCTCGGCTGCCAGGCACAACAGAGCAGGTTGGGAAAATATTCCCATTTCCTTATGAAATGTGGATTGCGTTCCCATCCTCAGTGGATCTTAATTGATTGGCATCCGACCTCATGGGGTGATCCATCCAGCCATCTAGGCGGATCGGGAAAAGCGTGAAGATATCCTCCATCTCCAGGATAGCAAGTTTCTTAGAGTGATTAAGACTCCGAACTAGAAAGCAGAAGAGAGTGAATTCTAGTTCTGGCTTAGGCAGGAAGGCCAGCTGGGTGACTTTGGACCAATCACCAGGTGACGGTGAGTTCTAGTTCCACTTTAGGAGTGAAATCCGGCTGGGTGACTTTGGGACATCACTAGGAGACTGTGAGTTCTAGTCCCACCTTAAGTGTGAAAGCTGGCTGGGTGACTTTGGGTTAATTACCAGGAGTCAGTGAGTTCTAGTTCCACTTTAGGAATGAAATCCGGCTGGGTGACTTTGAGCCAATCACTCTGCTTTAGGGGAAGGGGCTGCCTTGTTTAACTCGTTCCTGGGGGGCTGAGAGGCCGACCTCCAAGGGCCCAACCCTCTGCAGACTTTTCTCTCTGCAGGAGATGCCGGCGGCAGCGTATGAAGTCTCCATCTAGGGCAGAAGCCGCCCCTCGAGGGGGGAGCCGGAGGGGCAGGCCCCACCCCCCTGGATCACGGAGGCTCCCCCGCTCCTCCCCACACTGAGGAAGGACCTGTAAATACCTCCCAGGAGGACCATCACGCGAGGGGCTGCTGGCGGATGGTGCATCCCCTTCCAGGACCCCCCGGCAGCTGCAACATCGGCCCCCAGCCCTTTCTCAGCCAGGAGGGTCTCCTGTCCTGCTGACCCACCTGGGATGTTCCCCCCCCCCATCTTCCTTCCAGATCTCTCTAAAAATGCTCCTCACCAAGCTCTTGAGATGCCTCCTGGACAATCTTCAGCAACCATAATGGGATCCCTAACTTTTTCAAGCCCGGGATGAGACCCCCTGAACAGCCTGCCCCAGTGAGGGTTCCCTAGAGCGAGACACCCCCCCCCCCCCCCCCCGCAAGCCGCTTCCTCCCCTTTCGACTAAGTATCGGGGGGGATCCTCCATCCTGTCGAAGATTTTCCCCCCGAAGGTGCTTCCCCCCCCCAAAAAAGACAGCTGGACGTTCTTGGATCTGTTTTTCCTTGGAGACCTTTTGCTTCCCATCCAAGAAGCTTCTTCGCTTCTGCTCATCTTCAGGAAGTTCCTCCTCCTCTCTTGTAGCACGGATGATGTTACCTAGTAGGGTAATGAAACGTCTGTAAGAAAACAACCAAGCTCAGAGAGAACCAAGAACCCCAAAGTCTCTTCCTCCTCCTCCTCCTCCACACAAATTTAGCGCTGATGATGTTACCTGGCTGGGTTATGAAACGTCTTCAAAAAAACCCCACCAAACTCAGAGATCACAGACTCCACAGTTCAACCCTGAGCTCCTTCATTGGTACTGCTCCAAGCAGCTATGCAGGTTCGGACCTGCTTCACACATGGAAAGGGGACCACGGGGAAATTCCAACTTGGGACTGGGTTAATAGATAGATAGGAAAAATCCCCTGGAAAACCCCCGGCTGGGGGCTGCTCTGAGAAATTCAGGAAAATTCCACAAAGGTGATAAGAGGCAAACTGAGAAACTGGATGGGCTTGAAGTCAGCAAGAGTCCCGTATGTCTCCACCGACGGTCCCCTCCCCGTTGTGATTGCCCCCTCCCCATTCCTGCCTAGGAATCATCTCAAGAGGCCTTTGGCTGTCCATCCCTCCGTGGGGAACACACACACAAAAAGGAGAATTTTCTTACATCAACGTTCAGGATGGTGGAAGGAATTGGGGGTTGGACCAGATGACCCCCCCACCAAGGTCCCTTCCATGAAGCGGAGGATGTTTTCAGTTTGAGCAAACTTGGATGGGTCCAGGGGGGGAGGGGAGGGGAACCCAGCGGAGAAAGAAAAAAAAAGGGGGGGTGGGCTGTTTCTCACTCACATGGGTGGGCTTCTGCCTCTTTGCTTGCTGAATTTTGGTGGGTTTTTGCTTTTTGGAGTTTTTGTACTCAAGGGAGAGCCTTCATTTCAAAGAGTGGGGGAAAACTCTGCTGCCAATTTGGGGAATACTGGGGTTCCTTGGGGGCCACAAGCAATGGTTTCGGTGGCCCCATGCAGCTGACGGGCCTCGGGTTTCCTGTCCCTGGTCTTAAGACCCCCTAGGTAGGAATCCTGGATGTAGGACAACCAGAAACAGAGGAGGCAGGGGTGGTCCTTGGTGGTCCTGGCCTGCGCACAGAGCCGTTAAGACACTGAGCTCGGTGTCGATCAGAAAGGTCAGCAGTTCGAATGAGCAGGGGGTTGGACTAGATGACCTCCAAGGTCCCTTCCAACTCACTGTTACTGATCCCTGGGGGAAACCAAAGCCACCCTTTGCAGAAGGCGGGATCCCGTTTGGGTTGATGGGTGGTTCTGGTTTCAATCAAAGCATCCCAGAGGGAAGCTTAGCTCCCCTTTGGAACGGAACCCCAACCTTCCTTGCTCCAAAGTTGTTTTTAAGGCCTTGAGGAAGGAGTGGGAGGGGGGGAAAGGGAGGGTCCCAGAACGAAGGTTCAGCGCTGGCGTTAAGCCACCCGAGCTTGGCGACAGATGCAACCATCCGTGGAAAAAAAACAGCTCCCTCCTTGGTGGAGGCACCTCTCTTGAGGAACCTCAAGGAGAGGAGGAGGAGGAGACCCTTGGTCCTGGAGATAGCAACAGCAGTAGCCCTTAAGACTTATATACCACTTCACGGGGCTTTTACAGCCCCCTCTGAGCGGTTTACAGAGTCAGCCTCTTCCCCTCCCCCCCAACAATCTGGGTCCTCATTTGACCCACCTCGGAAGGACGGAAGGCTGAGTCAAACTCAAGCCGGTTAGGATCGAACTGTTGACAGTTGGCAGAGTCAGCCTGAAATACTGCATTGTAACTGTGCCACTACAGCTTGCTTCCTTCTCATTTCCCTGTCTTCCTCATTCCTTCTTTCGTTCCTTCCCTTCCCTCCCTCCTTCCTCTCTACTTACATACTTCCCTCCTTCCTTCCTTCCTTCCCTCCCTCCTTCCTTCCTTAGCAATAGCCCTTAGACTTATATACCACTTCACAGTGCTCTGCAGCCTTCTCTCAGCGGTTTACAGAGTCAGTCTCTTGCCCCCCCAACAATCTGGGTCCTCATTTTACCGACCTCCGAAGGACAGAAGGCTGAGTCAACCTCAAGCCCGTCAGGATTGAACTGCTGACAGTGGGGCACTCAGCCTGCAATCCTGCAGTCTAAGCACCAAGACAGGCCTCGGCAGTTTGCTAACCCAGCCAAAGGGTCTGTAGACCAATCCCCCCATCTTCAACCCCCTTCTCCTATCATCTTTGGGGTACAGCAGGACTTCTTTCTGCCCAACACACATTTGAAATTCACTTTTTAATATTTATCTATAGGTAGCCCTCGACCTGACCACAATTGAGCCCAAAATTTATGTTGCTAAGCGACACAGTTGCTAAGTGAGTTTGGCCTCACTTTACGACATTTCTTGCCCACAGCCCAAAAAAAAAAAAAAAAAAGTTGTTAAGTGAACCCCTGCAGTTGTTAAGTGAGTCATGGTTGTTAAGCGAATCTGGCTTCCCCATGGATTTTGCTTGGCAGAAGGTCGCAAAAGGGGATTATGTGACCCCCAGGACACTGTGGCCGTCATAAATATGAGCCACTTGCCAAGCCTGTGAATTTTGATCACATGACAACGGTCGTAAGCCTGAAAAACGGTCTTAAATCATTTTTTCAGGTCTGTTTTAACTTCGAACCGTCACTAAATGGAACTGTTGTAAGTCAAGGACTACTTGTACCATCCTGAGCTAACGGTTTAGTAAGGATCAAGCCGGATCTTGTAGGGATTTAATCTAAGCCAGCTTTGACCCAGCTAAGGCCTTCTTCAGGATTGCCCTCATACCCACCATCTGATTCTGGAGTGCTGATGTGCAACTGGATCTCATCAGCTTTTTGACGATACGTCATGCTAAAATCATGGATGATCTTGTGGTGTCCTGCTGAGAGCTGAGACCCATGGTTCCCCACATGAAGCAAACCCCCATCTCAAGCCACTCCACCTCCCCACACACTGACTGGGACCGGTCACTTAAGGAAAGGTCAGGATCACTATGAGACATGGCTTCCTATCTCCAATCTTCGGAGGTATCCAAAAGATCCCATCCTCCGGGTCTCCAGAAGGATCTCCACAAAGGATTGGCCCCTTAGGAAAAACTACAAGACGTGGCCTCCAATCTTAGGAGGGATCCAGAAGGATCCCTTGGTCACCAAGAGGAATGATCCCATCCTCCAGGTCTCTAAGCAGGATCTCCACAAGGATTGGCCCCCTAGGAGTCGCCAGAACCTCTACTAGATGTGGCCTTCAAACTCTGGTCTTAAAAGAAGGATCTCTGGATCACCAAGAGGAATCCTCCCTCCCCCCAGATCTCAACAAAAGGGCTTGGACCTCTTGGTGACCCATACATTTCAGACCCAGGCCTGGAGAAGGTCCAGAAGCTCACGGCCTTTGGAGGTCCCTCTGGCTGAAGCCCACCCATTCTAGACCTCCCCTACAATTCACCAAACATCTCCTTTGCATCTCTCTACCCTTTACTCTCGTTTTGTAGACTTGTCCCCTCCCTCTGGAGGGGAAGGATTAGCAGAAGCTCCTCTCGGGGGTCCTCCACCCCACCTCCTCCAAAATCCGCCCCCCCTCCCTTCTCTATGAGAAGGCTGGACACTTTGGGGAAGACCAGGGTGGTCTCCAGCCCCCTTGGTGCCCCCCCCCCTGGTCTGGAGGGAAGCTTTTTATCATTCAGTGTCTAACTACAGAGTGCGTCCCCCTCCCCTTTGCAAGTGGGGGATGGGGGGAATCTTGGGGGGGTGAGGGGGAGGGAGGGAGGGCCAACTTTTTTGGACTGTTTGATGAATAAACTGGTGTTTTAGAAAAAGTCTGGTCTGGTTTGGTGACTCGCTTTTCCGGAAGGGATTACAGGATCCGGACAAGTATTGGAGGCCATGAAATCCAACATGCCGACTGGGGCATTGTGGGAGCTGAGGGGGCCATTTTGGTTGTGGAATCCAGGGGCCGCCATTTTGATTTCCCAGAGAGGAAGTCCTGGACTTCCAACTACAACGGAGCCCCCGGAATTCCATGGTGAAGCAAGGCGGTTGTGAAATGAGTCCTTGCTCCGTTCTACGACGACCTTTCTCGCCACGGCGGTTTAACGAATCGCCACAGCCAGTTCCGTTAGGAATGCGGTTGTTAAGTGAATCCCCATCGACTTTGCTTATCGGAAGGTCGCAAAAGGGGATCACGTGACCCTGCAATGGTCATAAAGAGGAGCCGGTTGCCAAGTGTCCAGATTTTGATTTCACGACTGTAGGGATGTTGCAATAATTCACTTTTTCCCCCCCAGTGCCATTGTCATTTTAAACAATCCCTAAAATGGTTGTAAATTGAGGACTGACTATCTATTCCAGGGAACCAAAGCTTTTCTCAACCACAACAAAAATATCGGTGGTCCTTTTTGATGGTCCCAGGGGTTGTGTGGCCAGGAACATGTTTGCACCCCTTGGACAATGCGCCGTGGACCCCACCCCCCAAAAAATGGAGAGAGAAAAGGACTTAGATAGATATGCTGAAGCTGGACCTCCGAGAGGCGCTCGGCAGTGGGCAAAGCCCAGTCAATATCTCTGGGTCTTCTCCTGCCTTGGTCACCTCCCTTGGTCCACCTGAGAAGCCCTGGGCAGAAAGGCTGAAACCGGGATCACCAGAGCGATGGGATTCAGCTGGCTCGCACCAGTTCAGGCAAACCGGATGATAATCTGGTTCGCTGAACCGGTTGTTCCAAGGACTGGCTGACCCTGCCCCGCCCCTCCCAGGAGTGTCCACGCGGCCCATTTTGGATGCCAGGTAAGTGGAGGGCATGCGCAGAGGCTCTGGGAGGGCGAAAAACTGGCCTACCGGATGTCCGGAAACGGGCCTGTTTCCGGCCTCCGGAAGGCCTCTAGTGCCCGGGGGAGGCCGTTTTCGCCCTCCCAGAGGCTCAGGAAAAGCCTCCGGAGCCTGGGGAGGGCAAAAAAATGGGCTTACCGGAAGTACCAGAAGTCCGGAAATGGGCTCATTTTTGGCCTCCGGAGGGCGTGCAAAGTGAACCTGTTGTTACAACCAGTGAATCCCACCACTGGCCTCAGCCCCACGTGGCCTGCGATTGGAACCGTGTGGGGATTATTTCTACGTTGCACTCCTGGCTTTCTCTCTGCCAAAATTCAGGGCCCCCCTGGTCTGGATGGAAAGAAGGTGGAAGGGTAACCTGGGGGAGCTGCGCCCCCTCCCCCCAGTGCCAACAGGAGAGGTTCCTCAGGTGCCAGGTGAACCGAGAAGGGGCACTGATGATGTCACTTGGTTGGGTCATGAAACATCAGCCTAGGAAAGGGCTCCGTTGTCATTGCCCTCCTCCTTCTCCCGGCAAACCTCCCCTCCCTTCCAACACTGATGATGTTACCTAGATGGGTCATAAAACGTTTGCAAGAAAAACCACCAAGCTCAAGAGAGCACTAAAGACCCCTCAGTCATCGTCCTCTTCCTCCTCCCTGCAAACCCTGCTCCCTTCTAGCACTGATGACATTACCTAGTTGGGTGATGAAAATCTGCAAGAAAATAAGATAAAGTAACCTTTATTGTCATTTTTTTTACTGTGAGCACATTGGCCCACATTAAAAATGGAATTCTGTTGCCTGCTCTCAAAAGAAAGTATATATATCTACCCATACACATACATAATACACATATACACGTATTCTATCCATCCATCTGTCCGTCCATCTATCCATCCATCTATCTATCCATCTGTCCGTCCATCTATCCATCCATCTATCCATCCATCATCTATATATAGATATCTGCACCCATACTTATATATATACATATATAAATTATATGTATATAATCCCCCTGCTACTCAGACTAACCCGAGCACAACCAAGCCCCCACCTAAACAGAACACACACTCATCCAATCAGAGCACAGCCAAACCCCCAACCAATCAGAACACACCTCCACCCAATCAGTTCACACCCCCACTGGCAGTTAAAAGGAAGAAACAGCTGCAATCACACACATTGCTCCTAGAAGCACGAAGCCGAAGACACCAGCCTGAAGATGACGAATGAGACTTCGTCGAAACGTTGCCAAGACACCTCCAGTTTTACGCGGGAGAAAACCCAAATAACCAAAGACCTACATATATAAATTAATCACTATCCATTTGGAAATACATAGTGGAAAGAGGAAACTCGAGGAGTTCACAAGGTTGTTGCTATACGGAACAAAATTGTAACTGAATCTGGAGGTTCTGCTTAGGATATCACGAAGCCTCCTCCCAGGAGGTAACAAGGAAAACAGGTCGTGAAGAGGACGCATAGGGTCCCCGACAATCCTGCGGACCCTGCTCAAACATCGCTTACATGCCATATCCTGAATAGAGAGAGAGGGAAGGAGGGGAAAGAGAGAGATGTCAAAAGGATTTTGTGGTTCCCGGTGTTTTTTAACAACTGGTTCTCTGCCCTAATGACTGGCTGGGTAGGCGTGGCTAGGAGGGGTCATGTGACTGGTGGAAGTAAGTGACATGGAGTTGGCCACGCCCATCCAGGTTTTGTGGCTCCCGGTGTTTTCTTTTCTCTGGGAAAAGGGGCCAAAAAGTATTTAAGGTTGCAGACCCTGGGCTAGTCTAAAGAAAAGAAGAATTAGGGGAGACATGATAGCAGTGTTCTAATATTTGAGGGGCTGCCCCAAAGAAGAGGGGAGAATAAAATATGTGAAGAACAGTTGCGGGATTTGGGTTTGGCCAGTCTAGAGAAGAGAAGGACTAGGGGGGGACATAATAGCAGCATTCCAGTATTTGAGGGGCTGCCACAAAGAAGAGTTGGGGGTCAATTTATTCTCCAAAGCACCCTGAAGGCAGGACAAGAAGCAATGGATGGAAACTAACCAAAGAGAGAAGCAACCTGGAATTAAGGAGAAACTTCCTAACAGTGAGGACAATTAACCAGTGGAACTACTTGCCTCCAGAAGTTGTAGGTGCTCCATCATTGGAGGCTTTTAAGAAGAGACTGGAACAGCCACTTATTTGAAATAATATAGGTTCTCCTGCTTGAGCAGAGGGCTGGACTAGAAGACCTCCAAGGTCCCTTCCAGCTCTATTCTATTCTAACTCCAACCCACCCACCCCCCTGCTTAGGCAGGAAATCCTGTACCATTTCAGACAAATGGTTGTCCAATCTCATCTTAAAAACTTCCAGTGTTGGAGCCCCCACAACTTCTGGAGGCAAGTTGTTCCACGGGTGAATTGTTCTCCCTGTCAGGAAATTTCTCCTTCGTTCTAAGTCAGGGGTCTCCAACCTTGGCAACTTTAAGCCTGGCGGACTTCAGCTTTGCTGGCTGGGGAATTCTGGGAGTTGAAGTCCGCCAGGCTTAAAGTTTGCTAAGATTGGAGACCCCTGTTCTAGGTTGCTTCTCTCCTTGAAGAGGAGGTTGCCGGAGTTTTCTGCATTGGTTCTCCTGCTTGAGCTGGAGGCTGGACTAGAAGACCTCCCAGGTCCGTTCCTGATCCTATCTTATCTATCCTATCCTATTCTATTTTTCCATTCCATTCCATTCCATTCCATTCCATTCCATTCCATCCCATCCTATCCCCATCCCTAATTCTATTCCTATTCCACTATCTCCACAATTAGCAGAAAACAACCCAGCTCAGAGACCACCTACAGTGGGCAATCTTTTGTGCCCCCCACCCAAACAGGGAGACATTCCAGCACTGGATGCCTTCTGCAGAGGCGTGACGTTCTGCAAACTATCCCAGCTTTTCTGCAAAGAACAAAATCACCCCCCCACACCCCCCCATCTCTAATGCCCAGCGTGGCATGGGAACCCCCAGCGCCCCCTGTCCTCTGGCTCCTCCCGCCTTGTGCTCCCTAAAAGTGCCACCCCTTCCATCCGCTGCCCCCCCCAAAAGAAATGTCCTGTTCCACTTTCTGCCAATGCAATGCACCCCCAGGGCTCCCACCACCACCACGAGCAAAGGGGACCCAAGGGAGGACCCCCTCCCCAATTCCAGCCTGCGACCCCAGAGAATGAGTCCGCCATTCTTCGGTGGTATAATGGGAAATGCCTTGGACTACACTGCTGGGTTGTCGTAGCACCGCTCCGCTGCTGCAAAGAAGAGCCCTTTGCAGAACCGGCATATTCGGCGTGCGAACAAAAGAACTGCTCCCCTTTCCCTTCGCAGTCCTGCTCGCCGGTAGTGCGCAGACTCGCCTACTGGCCCTTTCCGCGCATGCGCAAGGGACCCACCTCCCGTGACTCCGACCGCCCGCCTGGTACAGAATGCAGGTCCCGCGCATGCGCAACGGAGCACCTGCGCCCATTAAAAAAAAGGGAAGGAGTAAAATACTCCTCGCGTAGTTATTAGCCCGCGTTATTTATTAAAATAAGTCATTTTAAGTCACGACTATAGACGCGGTTGTACGTTTGCAACTAAGCATTTTTTTAAAAACAAAAAATATAGAAAAGGTCACTCCGCGCAGGCGCAGACCTTAGGATGGCACATGCGCAAAACCGAACGGGGAACGGAAAGAATGAAGAAAAAAAAAGAGGGGGAGAGACCGCGCTTGCGCAGAAAGACCCTGGGAGAGAAACAAAAATAGTTGCCGGAGCGGCCGCGCGTGCGCAAATCAAGGCCGCCTGTAAGCGGAGCGGCGCCTGCGCACACAGGAGAACGGGGGGGGGGGCAAGGAGGGGCGCGGAAACGAGCCGAACGGGAGGGGGGCGATCACAGAGAGAGAGAGAGAAGGAGGCTGTATCGCCGCGCATGCGCGAGAGCGCTGCCTTTCCCCCCGGGCGACCCGGAAGCGTCGTGTTTTGTTTTTTTTTTTTTGGTTGGTTTTTTTTTTTTGGTGCGGCCGCCCCGCGCCTGCGCGGCAGAGCCCCGCAGCCGCGCGCATGCTCCCGGGGCGGCGGGGAGGCGGCGGTGCGCCTGCGCGACGAGCGCTGTGGCAGCGGCGGCGGGGCCCTGCGTGTGAGGCGGCGGCGGGCGACCTTCCCCTCAGCGGCGGCGGCGGCGGCGGCGAAGCAGGCAGCGCGGGCCCCGCCCCCTGTCATGGCAGCCGTCCCCTCAGCCGACCCGCGGCCTGTCCCGGCGGAGGCGGCGGCGGAGGGGGGCTCCCTCAGGCCCGTCGGGTAGGCCGAACCGGAGGCGGCGAATCCCCCGCGGCCTCGAGAAACGCTTCTTTCGCCGGCCCGGCTTGAGCGTCGCGCTGCGGCCCGGCCCTCGCCGTTGGATGTGGGAGAGGATGGAGGCCAAGACGGTGGTCTACGACCTGGACACCACGGGGGGCCTCATGGAGGTGAGCGCGGGGGGGGGGCAGGAGGGGGGGGGGGGAGGGGGGGGGGGGGGGGGCCCGGCCGGGCCCGGGGGGCCCCCCGCCTCCCCCCCCCCCCCCCCCCCCCCCCCCGCAGCAAATCCAGGCGCTGCTGGCCCCTCCGCGGAGCGACGACGGCGGCGGCGGCGGGAGCGAGAAGCGGAGCCGGCGGCCGGAGCGAGGAGGAGGAGGAGGCGGAGGGGGCGACGGGCATCCCCCGCACCACTTCCAGCACCACCATCACCATCATCACCACCACCACAACAACCCCCCCGCGCAGCCCCCGCCGGGCATCTCCGGGCACCCGCACTCCGGGACCCCCCCGGCGCCGCCCCCCCACGCCGGAGGCCCTCCCGGCGCCCACCACCACCACCACCACCCCCCGCACCACCAGCAGCAGCCGCCCCCCGCCGCCTCCTCCGCCTCCGCCACGGCCGCCCAACGACGCAGCGGCCGCGCCACCAACCACGACAGCTGCGACAGCTGCAAGGAGGGCGGCGACCTGCTCTGCTGCGACCACTGCCCCGCCGCCTTCCACCTCCAGTGCTGGTGAGTGAGAGAGAGAGAGGGGGGGGGGGACCCGGCCTCCTTTCCTTCCTTCCCTTCCTTCCTTCTTTCCCTCCTCATCTCTCTCCCTTCCCTTCTTCCTTCATCTATCCTTCCCCCTTCCTTCCAATCTTTTCCTCTTTTCTTTCCTTCTTCCCTCCATCTATCCTCCTCCCTTTCTTTCTTCCCTTTCTTCCTTCCATCTTTTCCCTTCTTTTCCTTTCTTTCCTTCTTCCCTCTATCCTCCTCCCTTTCTTTCTTTTTTCTTCCCTCCTTCCTTCCATCTTTTCCCTTCTTTTCCTCTCTTTTTCCTTCTCCCTTTCTTTCTTCTTTCCACCTTCCCTCCTTCTTCCCTCCATCTATCTTTCTCCCTTTCTTTCTTTCTTTCATCCACCCTCCTTTTTCTTTCTTTACCTCCCTCTTTCCTTCCTTCTTTCTTCCCTCCATATTTCTCTCCCTTCCTTTCTTCCCTCCTTTTCCTTTCTTCCCTCCCTCTCCCTTCCCTCCCTCCCCCCCTCTCTCCCTCCTTCCTTCCTTCCCTTCCTCCTCCTTTCTTACTCTCATCCTTCCAGCCCTGCCCGTCCGTTATCCCTGCCCGCCTGTTATCCCGGCCACTTCCCATCCCTGCCGGGCAGGGCGCCGACAACATGGCAACCTGCCTGGGATTGCTGCCTCTTTTCCTCCAGCGCCATTTTGCCCATTGGGCCCCTCCTGGTGTTTCCCCCCCTTTCCGCCAGCCAGACAGCGGGGCCAAGCCCCCTTCCCCCCATCAGCCTCCCAGGCCCAGCCAAGCCGGCTCATCTAGGGAGGGAGGGAGGCTGCGCAGGGGCCCTCCTGGCTGGGAGGAGGAGAAAGGAGGACGAGGGTGCCAGCTACTCCCAAGTAGACCCAGGCAGGCTCCGGCTGCTTCCTCCCTCGCCAGCTCTTTTGTTTATAGCCCGGAGGTGTTTTTCGGCTCCTCCTTCTCTTCCAGCCATGAAATCGGCTGCAGGTTTCTCAGCCCATTGTTTGCGTTTGGCAGCCTGGGGATCGGGGAGCCCGGTTTGAAAGAAGGTGCCTTTGACCGCTAGGCAGGCAGGCAGGCTGGCTGGGTGGGTGGTGCAGGCCTCCGGAGCTGGCAGGAGCGCAGGGAAGAGGCGGTGGCAGCAGCCATAAAAGGAAGGCGGTGCGACAGGCCAAGGCGTCCTCTGGATCGGGAGGCTCAGTGGGGAAGCAAGCCTCCGGTGGCTTTTTTGCCCTGTCTGGAGCCCTCGTCTTTCACCTGCCTGGGAATCTGGGCCGGACTGTGCCTCAGATTCGCCATTGGAGGCGGCCGAAAGTTTTTGAGCTGGTCAGCAGGAAGGAGGCGATGACCCCATCAGCAAGGTGCCTGGTGTGATCTGAGGCTTTGGAAGGACACAGCCGGCCCTGAAAGGGAAGGAGGCTGGAGAAGCGGAGGAGGAGGAGGAGAACAGTAGCCTGAATTCTGGGCCTGTGGGACAGTTACACCGATGGTCCAGCCTGACCTGTGCTGGACGCCGGCCCTGCCACCTCCCAGCCATTGTCTGGGTTGAGAGTTACGCCCCAGCGCATCTATGAGAGAGAGAGAGGGAGAGAGAGAAAGAGCGGCCGTGACCACCGTCTCTGAGTCTCAATGGCTCCTGGCAGCTCCTGGAGGAATGGCTCCCATCCTCCTTTGACGTTCTCATTGGCGGAACTGAGGCTTGCCTCCCCTTGGCTTCTGCAGGGCCACGCTGCTGCGTCTCAGCCAACCATTTTGCCTCCCGGCGGCTGCGGGTGAGGAGCTGGGGGGGGGAGGGTTCCTGCCTCTCCATCTAACATGGTCACTCCGTGCCTCTTTTTTTAAGATGGCCCTGAGCTGCATTCGGCGGAAGGCAAATGGCTGTTTAATTGAAGGTGGCATTTTAGTTCTCTTTCCCCGGCATTTGTTTTTGTTTAAATTATATAAACTGGCAGCACACAGGGGAGGCTTTCTTTCTGCATTTGTTTAACTTGGGCCCCGCTTTCTCTGGCGCTGGGTTGCCTTGTATTGTTTACACAGTTGCAAATAAAAATTTTTGCTTTGCATTTCTTGCTTCGACTTCAAACAACGCTCGTTCTCGCCCGCTGTCGCTCTAGGCGTTTTCTGGTTGGGAGCCGAGGGTAAGCTGCCGGACGTTAGAGTCTAGCTTACGTTGGGGAAGGGGAGGCAGTCTAGGGAAGGAAAATGGCAGAAGCTGGCCATTATTAGGGGCTGACGCGACCCTGCCTTGTTCCCCTGTTTGGGGAGTGCTGGACTCTACTTGAATTTTATAGGTTGGGCTTTGGGGCCCTGGCATCAGAACTGCTCTGCCTCCCAGCTCTTTAAAAAAATGTAAGCTTTATTACTCACGAGATAGGAGAGAAGCTGTTCAGCATGAGGAAACTGATGGACTCTTGCTGGAAAATGGAGAGGGCACAGTGTTTGGGGGGGGGGAACTATCCTGAAAAATAAGGCGGTTCTTCGTCTTTTCCTCCGTGTGCGATAGGCCGTGTTGTTTCTGAACTGTACCTACTCAAAACTTGCCTGTCAAACAAAGAAAGGCCTGTCTGCCTTAGATATGTTCTCGCTGACGCTGACCTGGCCACTTCCCTTGTGATTTCATGCAACTGGGATGCAGCCTGTGGATAGTCGGCGAAGGATTAATTTGTACTAAAAGGATTACAGTTAGGAGCAAGCTCCATTTAGACCCTGCCTTTTGGTCAGACAAGATCCTGCGTGTGTAGACAGCATCCATAGCTTCCTTTTTAAGATATCAAAAGATAGCGATCAATGGTTGCCATAGCATTGTTTAGAAAATACATCGGAAACTCTTAGAGAAGAGTTTGTAAAATCTCGGTGAACAGCCTGGTAAAATAGATAAATGGGGTATCCTGCCTGTTTTGTATCTCTTGAGAATTTGCACTCTTGTGGCCCGTATTTTATGTCCAGTCTGTTCCTTCCTCTTGGGACATGCTATATTTAATGGAGATTAGCGAGAAAGTTACTGTGTGTTTTAAAAAACTTCTGTTCGGTGCAGGCTTGTTCTTTCTGCTGCAGCCAACATGCCGACATTAGCGCAACCGATTCTTTGAACAGCTTTGATGAATAAAAAAGATTTAAAATAGCTAGGAGATGCTTGACTCTTTCATTTTCTTTCACCGTTCCTCCAATCTGGTGCCTTCATATATATTGTTCTACATTACCAGGATGTCCAGCCTTCACTGGCCACATTGGCTTGGAATTTGGGAAGTAGCCCTCTTTAACACATTTGAAAAAATGAGACTGGGGGAGCTTAACAATACTGTCTGCCTCTAGCTGTATTGATCTTCATTCCTTCCCCCTTTTTAACATGCACTTTAAAATACGTTAACTTTCCCCAGCTGTTTCCAAAGTGAGTTTATCGTTTTGTGGGTGAGCTTGGCTTTACAAAGGACAGATCCCTTCCAAGCGGTTAGATTTAGAAGTTACCAACTCCAGAATGACTCTGGGCAAGCTTAGATGTAAAATAGGTAAACAATTAAAGAGATGAATCTAAACATGCGGACAAACTGCACGTCAAATTACCTCCCAGGGCTCCACAAACGCCCTAGCCCAAGGCCTGGGAGAGAAGCCAGGCTTTCTAAAGACTTCCGGAACACCGTCAGGATGGTTGCTAAAGGGATCTCCGTAATGAAAGGAATTTCATCAAGGGAAAAAGAGGAGCTTTGTTTGGCAGGTAACTAGGAAATAAGCTGATAGTGGCAGAGAGCAAACGGAATTTGTTTCCCCGGTTGTAAAAGCCTCCTGCAGCCTTTGTGAATCATCTTGTCCATCTGGGTGAACTCCCACTGATAACCTCTCAAGTGAAGAGTTCCAAAACCTTTGAAATCAGCTGCAGTTTCCTTTGAAAAAAGACAGTGGCCCTGTTTAAGGAACTTGAATGTTTCGTGTCTATGGAGACTCTCTGTCACCCAGGTCACAGTTGTCCCAAAGGTCCTTTTTTTCAAAGGCAACCGAACTTTCTTTTTCCCTTGAAAACGCTTCTCTTCCAAGAAGCTTCTTCAGTTCCGAAGAAGTGAAGAACCGAAGAAGCTTCTTGGATGAGAAGGGAAACGTCTTTGAAGGGAAAAAGCGAAGTCCAGTTGCCTTTTGAAAAAGCACCTTTGCGACTTCACTTCTGGCCTTTTACTGCTTCCTCACTTCATATTATTTTTGTGACTTTTCTTCCTGGAGGCTACTTCCTAGCTGCTCACTCTGTACCTTTAAGGAACTAACTTTGTTTCCCCGTATGGGTTGTTTGTTTGTTTTTTTGGCTCCGCTGCTCTCAATATAGGTCAGCCATTTGGAGACCTGTTGTGTGAGGGCTTGAAAGGAAACTGTGGAGTTGAGTGCCTTGCTGAGGAGTTCCAGTTTCTTCCTGTTCTCTGACAGACCCCGGGGTGTGGGCCGTTTTGTCTTCTAAGCGGGTACAGATAACTCTTCATCTGAATGCATTTGTTTACTCCTGACTCCAACCTGCTGCAAGCGCCCCAGTTCTGATATTTATCCAGCATTTAAAAATGGTCTTTGTGGTTTGTTGGTTTCCTCCAACCTATCTAAAAAGTTCTGATAAAGGAGAATATTTGTAGGTCAGGGTTGAACTGTAGGCTCTTTGATGTTTTCTGAGCTTGGTGGTTTTAACTGCAGATGTTTCATTACCCAACTAGTTAACAGCATCAGGGCTACAAAGGGGAATTTCAGAGAGGAAGACAATGAGGAAGGAAGGAGGATGACGAGGATGCTAGAAGGGAGGGGGGAGGAGGACTGACAGGTCCTTAGTGCTCTGTGAGCTGGGCTGTTTTCTTGCAGACATTTCATTACCCAACTAGGGAACATCATCTGTGCTACCAGTGTATTGTACTGTTACAACAGCACTGAGGCTCTTGCCTAGTTGGGTAATGAATTGTCTGCAAGAAAACCACCAAGCTCAGAGAGCACCAAGGACCTGTCAGTCCTCCTCCTTCTTGTAGCACTGATGATGTTA